CTAATAGTTTTTTATCTTTGGGTTTCACTGCTGTGTCTTCACGCTATACAGAGTATGGTGAGGCTGCTCCCCTGGTCGCTATCAACCCAAACCCTATACCTTCTCCTCCTGCTGCTGCTGCTGCTGCTGCTGCAGGAGGAGGAGCAGCAGCAGCAGTAGCAGCAGCAGCAGAAGCAGCAGCAGAAGCAGAAGCAGCACCCAGCAGAGTGGATAGAGATCCCCATAGAGACGAAGCTACTGTAGCTCAGTTACTTTCTTTTGACTCTATCGATGCTGCTGCTTGGCTGGGGGTTGCTGCAGCAGCAGACCTTCTTGCTGCTGCTGTAGATAAAGTATACGCGGGGATGCAGCAGGCGGTGCTGACGGAGGGCCCCTCAGCAGCAACAGAAGAAAACTGCTCCTTTAAGCTGGGGCTGAGGCAGCAGGATTTCGAGGCTTTTGCTGCTGCTGCAGCAGCAGCAGCAGCAGCAGCAGGAGCAGCAGGAGCAGCAGCAGCAGCAGAAGCAACAATACCCAATTGTAAGCCTGGCGGGTTGCTGCTGCAGTGTGCTAAAGAGCTGCAGCAGCTATCCTCACCAAAGTCGGATATGTTGCTGCAGCTGCTGCAGCAGCAGGTTATCGCAGCAGCACCAACACAACAGCAGCAAGGCCACCGTATGCTGCGTCTGCTGAAGCAGCCAGGTGTATGGTTGCTGCTGCAGCGGCTGCTGGGTGGTGGGGGTGCAGCACGTCTAGAGGAGGAGCAGCAGCAGCAGTATTACGATAGAGAGATGGAAACAATAACAATAAAAAACTACAAAGAGCAACCTTATAATAAAATGAAACAACACCCCCACACCATACGATCAGAGATGCTGCGCTTCAGCAGCATCTATCTAGACCTGCTGCCTACAGAAGCATACTGGCATTCACTGCAGCAAGGCTGCTTCTATGCTTATCTAGGGTTAGCTGATACCTTGGGTTCTGTCTTTGTTAGAGCTGCACACTGGGAGCCACAAACACTGCAGCATCTCGTTGCTGCTGCTGAAGCTGCTGCTGCTTCGGCTGCTGCTGGAGCTGCTGCAGCACGAGCAATCAGCGGAGCCTTGCCCCGCCACCATACACACCATAGAACGCGAGACAGCCACCATCAACATCTGCTGCAGCAGCAGCAGCAGCAGCAGCAGCAGCGGCTGCAGCAGCAGCAGCAGCAGCAGCAGCGGGTGCAGGGGCACAGGCCGCACCCGTCGACTTCGTTCCTGCAGCAAGCGCCAGCAGCAGACCCGGCGTGGCAGACGCCTATTGGGGTGTATGCACAGCAGCACGATGCAGCAGCAACAGCAGCAGCACACCAGCTTGCTTCTGGTTATATATTAAAACCTATACAGCCATTCTATGAGTTTTATCGCTTGAAGCTATTAGCCGATGCATCTGTTTCTCTTTTCTCCGCAGAGGGTGAAA